TTCGAGAAGGTGGCGGCGCCCACTGAAACGGCACCACGGGCGTGAATGCTCGGTGCCCTCTCACCCCGCTGGTGCCCATCTGGGCCGTCACTCTCGGCGTGCGCGCGGCAGCTGGGGAGCATCACGCGGCGGATGCGCTCTTACTGCTCCTGGTCTTCTCGCGCGCTCAGGACTTACAGCGGGCACGCCAAGTCAGACATTGGCCTGCCAGCGGGTGCCCCACGATGATCGCATGTCTCCCGACAGGCCCACAGGAGCCCTGGGCCCCCCGGCGAAGCTCAGAGTCCACGAAGGATGAGCTCCCTCATGTGGCGAGGTTTCTCCTCGCACGTGCCTGCTGAAGGATGCAACTCCTGAGTGGTATTCGTTGGAGCGATCAAAGGCTACTGAACCCGATTTTGAGTCCATCAAGATGGAACCAACCAAATTAAACCCACGATCAAGCCGTAGTTGACAGAGCTAAGGCAGATTCGGCTGCAGCAGAAGGGCGGCTCCCGACCGCGGATATACTGCCGCCGATGGTGACTGTACCCCCTGAAAAATTGCCACGGGACAGGGCCAACACCGCCATGCTCAGACTGTAGACCACCCGGCTGGAGATGGATACCAGCCCATTTCGATCGTGTCGACTGGCATGCTCATCGAGGGGGTGGCCGAACCCAAGCGTGGAAGCCGGAAGTAGGGGTCCACATGCGAACCCTACCCCTAACCCCCGGTGATTTCTACGGGGGAGGGGTAGGGTTCGCATGTGGGCCCCTAGGAACAACTACGAACAGCTTTGCTCCTGGCCGCCCACGCCGAGTAAGCGACCCGAAGAGACGGGCCGCAGAACACTTGTCGTCGGCCCCGTGAGCCCGGCGGTGAGAGGGGGCCGTGCGGAGCGAGGCCCGAGGAGAGGGAGAAGACGAGGAGGCGGACAACATTGCCGTCTCCAGGAAGGCCGACTGTTGCGCTCCCGCTGGCCTTCCGCCGCGGCAGAGGTAGCAACTCTGACGCCCCGAGGCGAGGTCCGTCCGGAACGCCGCGGGATGAGGCAGCAGCCGTAGTCGTCGTCGTAGTCGCAGTCGTAGCCGTGGTCGCAGTCGCACTCGCAATCGTAATCGTCGTCGTCGTCGTTGTGCGGCGGGTGCCGCGGAGAACTACTTTATCTTCCGCTAGCGATGGGGGCCCCAGTCCGTTCAGAAGGTCGCCGAAAAGATCAACCAGTTTCCAACTATTGGGGCTCTAGAGGCCCAGCCCTTTTAGGGTTAGGTCGGGCACGTCCCCCTACAGGCGGATCTTGGGCGAACAGTGAAAGCAATGCCAGGAACACATTCCAACCATGCTCCGAAATGGCCAAAACATCGTCCCCGGACTATTGGTTTGCCTATTTTTGAACATTCCCCCTGGAAAGGGACAGGCCCGACTCGAGATTATAGAGAGAGGGAGAGAGAGAGAGAGAGAGAGTTCGGCTACACGCAAGAGTGACCCTGGGTAAAAGTGACCTTTGGTGCGCGGCTTTCGGGGGGGCCGCGGGGGGACCAAACACACAAGCGCGCGGCACGCTACTGCTACCGCATCGCGCTCGGCCATCGGGGGCCCCCCCGAGGGCCCGCACCAGAAGGTCGCTCCGGCGAGGGGCCACTCTTACGTGCAGTCGAGAGAGAGAGAGAGAGAGAGAGCGAGAGAGAGACGCGGAGCAGCGCCACCCCGCGGGGAGGAGCCCCGCGGACGGGGGCCCCTGGCGATGCGCGGGGGGGCGGCGCCCTGCCTGCTGCGCTCCCGCGCGCCGCCCCCCCCGCGCAGGCACGAGGCGCTTCCCATGCGAGCGCGCGAACAGAGCGGCCAGCACGGGCAGGGGGCTCGCCAGCGAGCGTCCTTCTCCTCCTCCTCCTCCTCCTCTTCCTCCTCCTCCTCCCCCTCCCTTCCTCCCTCTCCCTCCCTGCCCCCCGAAATGAGCACGCAGGCTCGCTGGCGAGCCTGCGAGGCTCGCCAGCGAGCCTGCGTGCTCATTTCTAGTTGTGCTCGTTTCTGAGTGTTCCTGGCCCCCTAGTGGCCAGGAAGAGGCCCAGGATGGAACACTTAGAGATGAGAGGATCTTGGCCCCCAAAAAATCAAAGGACTTTCGAATACTTAAAAGCGAACCATGTGTATAAGATCTGGTTGAGGACAACAGTTCTTGGGCACTACCCCTCCCCCCAAGTTCAAGGTTGGCACGCGCAAGTGGACTGCGGTCGACAATCGGAACTCATCGGCACCACCGCCAGCTTTGAGCGTTGGGAGAGGGGGGCATTGACAGATGAATCTGGCATGAGGCATGCGTGTTTGCAATTTATAGACGGGGGCCTGTCGTGGAAATGCCGTCTACTAGACCGTACAGACGATACGCTGTAAAATTCGGAACCACATGACTGATTTGTGCTGACTGGTCAGCGCGTCTATGAACTTCCTCCTGTCGCTTTCCTGCCACCTGCCTGCACGCTGACGAGGAACCCGTCACTGGGTAACTCGTCTCGGTGGCGCTGAAAGGAAATGGGGGAAGACGATAATCTATCTTTGTTTGTTGTCGTCGTGCTCCTCCTCCTATGTGAGGGCAAGCTTGCGTGGGAGCGCATGAAACCTCCGATCCGACTGCCGGGGACCATCCACCAAATCTGCCGCGCTCGCTCATGAAGTCGCGTACCCGCGCTGTCTGGGGGAACAAGAGGAGCAGAAGGAGGAGGAGGAGGAGGAGGAGAACGAGAAGGAGGAGGAGGAGGAGGAGGAGGAGGAGGAGGAGGAGTAGGAGTAGGAGGAGAAAGAGGAGGAGGAGGAGGAGGAGGACGAGGAGGAGGAGGAGGACGAGGAGGAGGAGGACGAGGAGGAGGAGGAGGAGAGGGATCGGCGCCGCCCCCCGCTGGAGGGGTCTCGCGTCCTGCTCGTGGAGGCCGCGCAGGCGGCGGAAGGCGGCGCAGAAGTCGCTGCGCCTGGGCAGCTGGGAGCCGCCGGGCGGCCTCGCCCTGGCTAGCCTTCGTTGTCGATCGGCGATCGGCGAGTATCGATCCTCGAGGTTCGATGGTCGATGGTCGAAGACGAGGGCATTCTGTTCGGAGCGTGCGAAGCCGCAGTCCTCTCTCCATACATTCATATATATATATATATACACACATATCGGCTATCGCTCGTCGTCGATCGGCGATCGGCGGCGATCGGCGAGCATCGATCCTCGAACCTCGAGCGATCGACGATCGCTCGAGGCTCGATGATCGATATATACACATGTGATATGTAAAACACCCTGCCCTCACAGGGTGGGATTCGCATGTGAGCTCGGCCGCCAGCCGAGCACAATGTGCCAATGTGACCTGGTCGCGTTTTTTTGGGGGGTGGGGGGAGGAATGTCGATCGAGGACAGTGTCGATCGACGGTCGAGGTTCGGGGACACAGATCTTCTGGACGTGTTTGGCCCTCTGCGGGCCTCCAGAGGCCTCTGGAGGTCGTTGTCGTCGCCGTGGGCGTTGCCGTCCTCTTCCTGCTGCCGCTGCTCCCCCTCCTCCTCTTCCTTTCTCCTCCCCTCCCCCTTCTTCCTCCTCCTCATTCTCCTCTTCTTTGTTTTTCTCTTCCCACCGGCGAACGCACAAAGCAGCTCCGTGATGGAAGCGCTCCTCGTCTTCTACTGCAAGATGGGGTGGATGGGTAGTAGTGAGACGAGGGGGGGAAGGGGGGGAGCATGAGCAGAGGGGACGGGGAGAGGGGAATGGAACAAAAGGATACGTTTTGGATAGCCATGCAGCTGCTTAAGACAGCCATACGCAGCCTCCACGCCGCGTGTCCCAGAGCTTACGCAGGGTGCCGACGCGCCAAAATGGTTGCTCATGTGCTCATAGAGCCGTACTTGCATGTGACCATGCGATGATACGTGAGAGGGTGATAAAGATGAGGAGGACAATGATGAAGAGGAAGAGGAATGTGCTACTGTTGGTTTGTCCCGTCGCCCGTTCGATGTTCTGGTTCCTCATATTTTGATGCTCAAGGCTTGCGACTAATTCGCCACGCAAGTCTATACAGCTGATGCAATCCGCAACCAAATCTCGACTCGATAGGTACACTGAACACGCCGGTCACATCCCACCCACACGCTCGCTTCATAACATGTCGCAGCACGCCGTAATAGCAACCAGCAGCAGCGTGCATCTGCTGGGCAGTGCGGCTGTGGTATAACCGCACGCGTGTGCGAAACGCCCAGGACAGGAAGACGCTCGCCACGCGGACCTCCTGCGTGCCTCGGCACCCCCCTGCGTAGGCATCCCCCCCTGCGCAGTGCGGGAGCGGCGCCGGGGGGGAGAACCGGCTCAGGGGGGGGCGGGGGGGAACCTCGGGCTGGATTCGGCGAGGCGTCGCCGCTGGACCCGCGAAAGGCCCCCCGAGAGCGGCTCCGCCGCGCTCCTGGGCGGGGTGGGGCCGTCGGGCCCCTCCCTGCCGGCGATCAGTGGGCGACGTGGGGGTCGAGGCGCTCCCCCGCCCAATAGGCCCAATCCCCCCCGGTCGTTGCCAGGTGAGCCAGCGGGCCAGACACTTTTTGTTGCCATCCGCGGGGCGCCCTGTGGCAGAGGGGGGAGGAAGGAGGAGGGGGGGAAGGGGGGGGAGAGGGGGAGGAGGAGCCAGCGGGCCAGACACACCCGGTGATATCGGTCGAACTGGTGAGGACCCCCCGTGGGTCGGGTGGCGCTCTGCAAGAAGTCGCGGCCCTCTGGCGTGCGCAGGCTCCCCCCCCCGCCCCCCCCCCCCCGAGCCAGCGGATCCAATCTCGCAGCGTGCTCCAGCCATCATCACTCGTGGATTGCCTCCTTCGTTGGTTCTCCTCCTCCTCCTCCTCCTCCTCCCCCTCCTCCCCCTCCCTCCCCTCCTCCTCCTCCTCCTCCTCCTCCTCCTCCTCCTCCTCCTCCTCTTCGGGCTCTTCATATGATGAAGATGGCGAGGCGGGGAAAGAGGACGGTGAGACGAGGCACGCAGCTGTTATCCCTGCGACGTCACCCTGGCGC